GAATACTCTCGCTGTGGCTGGACGAGAGGTGCGATGCTAGTAGATGCATCATCTTTAGTAGTACCATCAGCAGTAGTAACACTATCAATAGGCCTGAATTCAAACTCCACCTTCTCACCAGTACTCTGTGTCTCACCTGTACTGGGAACTTTTCCAAAAGAAAGTAGTGCATTTTCATCAAAAGTGATATCTCTACTCAGAATGATTTTCCGAGAATCAGGAGACCATAGACGATACCCTTTTGACTCAGAGGCATAACCAAGGAAAATGCATTTGACAGCTCTCGGGTTCAATTTACCCGTACTGGAATGAGCATAAGCAGGACATCCAAAAACTCTTAAGATAGAGTAATCAACAGGATTACCTGACCAAACTTCCTCTGGAATTTTGAAATCAAGGGATGAATGTGGAGATCTATTTACCAAATAGCAAGCAGTAGAAACGGCCTCGGCCCAAAAATCACGCCGTTTCCATAACCCAGCATTAGAGAGCATACAACGAGCTCTTTCCAATAGAGTCCTGTTCAAACGTTCGGCAACACCATTTTGCTGGGGTTTACCAGGCAAGGTCTTGTGCCTGGCGATTCCATTTGCCGCACAGAAGTCATTGAAATCTGACTCACAGAACTCCAAGCCATTGTCTGTCCTGAGCTTCTTGACTTTTTTACCTGTCTGAGTCTCAACAAGTATTTTCCACTTCTTGAAAATAGAAAATGCCTGATTTTTGTGTTTCAGGAAATAGACCCAGACTTTGCGAGAAAAGTCATCAATAATAGACATAAAATATCTACAGCCTCCCATAGACTGGAATTTAGTCGGTCCCCATAAATCGGAATGTATATATTCCAATACATCTTTGGTACGGTGTGTAGCAGTAGAGAAACTAACCCTCTTTTGTTTCCCAAAAATACAATGCTCACAAAATTGTAATTTACCCGTACCTGAACCACCAAGGAGGCCTTTTTTGCTCAGGAGATGCATGCCTTTCTCACTCATATGCCCCAGACGCATATGCCATAATTGAGTGAGATCCGCATCAGACATCGATGAGGATACCGCTACTAAACCTGTCACAGTACTGCCATGCAACACGTACAAGCTTCCAGAACGAGAAGCTTTCATGAGAACAAGAGAGCCTTTTATGACTTTCAGAACTCCACCTTCAGCTATGTACTTGCACCCCAGAGATTCCAAGGTGCCCAAGGATATCAGATTGCGTTTCAAATCAGGAATATACCGAACATTGGTAAGAGTCCTGACAACATTATCATGAGTTTTAATATGAACACTTCCAATTCCACTAACCTTGCATTGGGTATCATTACCCATCAAGACAACTCCACCATCAACTGGTTCCAGAGAGACGAACCAGTCTTTGTGAGGACACATGTGGAACGTACAACCAGAGTCCAAAATCCACTCAGTCTTGCTCCGTTTGTCACCGGAGCTAACAGATAACATAACATCGCCTTCTGAATCACTTTCAACAACACTAGCTTCAGCAGACTTCTTTTCTCTCTCTTGCTTGTTTTTCAACTTGAAGCATTCAGTCACATCGTGACCCTGCTTCCTGCAGTACTTACAGGATTTGTTGGACTTACGTCCTTTGGACTTGGATCTAGATTTTTTATTGCTACTCTCTGTTTCAAGTGAACGACCCCTTACAGTCAAGCCTTCACCTTTGTCCTCAGACTTAATTTCAGAGTCAAACTTTTCTTTGGACAATAAGTTTGACTTAACATTGTCAAAAGTAAGGGTATCACTACTATTACCATACAACATAATTTCTTTGAAATGCTTGTACGATTTAGGGAGAGAGACAAGCAATAAAACAGCACGATCCTCATCTTCAATTACGACATCAATATTTTCCAAGTCCAATAAAATAGAATTAAATTCATCCAAGTGAGATTTAATCGAAGTACCTTCCGTCATACGGATTGTGTACAGACGCTCCTTCAGGCGTAGCTTGTTCGCCAGAGACTTGGCCATATAAAGCGACTCCAGCTCGGACCATAAATCTGACGTAGTCTTCTCACTTACCACTTCACGTAGAACCTCTTTAGACAGGCACAATTGAATGGTTGAACGTGCCTTGTCATCCAAATCTTCCCAATCTTCATCTGTCATTGCGGCCGGTTTCTTCTTCTTCCCAGCTAGCGCTTTCTTCAAACCGTTCTGGGTTAGAACGGCTTCCATCTGAACCTTCCAGATAGAGAAGCTAATTTTCCCGTCGAACTTCTCGATATCGAACTTAGTGACAGTCGACATCTTTGAAAATAATTCTCAAATAAACCGCTCTGATACCACTTGTTAGGAATATAGCGGAATAATGCGGAAGCGAAGAATCGAAAATTGAGAATTATAGAAGTTAAATAATAGGAAAATAATATAAATGACAAAGAAATTAGGAATAAAAGAATATATATATATATATATATATATATATATATATATATATATATATATATATATTAAGTCAACGTGGGGACAAAGAAAGAGAAAGAATTTTCTATTTATGTAATAATGAGCAATGTACAAAGAAAACACTACTGCCTATTTATACACTCAAAAGAAGAGAAAAAAAATGGGATGCAAAGGGATGTGAGCTAAACACGGAAGAATTGTGTAGTAACGTGAAGCCTTGCATGAGACGCGGACAATTGCGATAGTGGAGAGAGTGCTGCATGGAATTGTCTTCAATTTGAGCCACAATAATTATTATCATAACACTTTTGTTGTTCTTCACGAGCTAAGGCCTACCAACGGACCTACTATTTAACACCCGGAATAGATTTTGAACAAACTTACTCTCTTGTCTTAGATGACACATCGTTCCGTTATATAATATCGCTGGCAGTAAAAGGATATATATATTTTTCATGCCTGTATGTCAAAATATATTGAAAGCAATGTATTTTTTTTGTTTTAGTTATTGCAAGAGAAAAATATACGCATATGTTTATAAATTAACAGAACATATACATAAAATAAAACATATTCAATAAAGCATATGAACGCAAAACGATTTTTTGCAGTTTAATGAATATGTACTATCGAAGCATGTATACTACTAGAACATATAATAAACATATAAATTCACATAAAGTTACCGTTCACCGAATTGAGCGTGCCGATAACATGTTAAGATGTTGATGCCCGTTGGCCCGTTAGCTAGCTCCTAATCGGTAGATGAATTTGCAGGAACAATAACAGTATAGTATGGAAGTAGATAGAAGATAAAGACTCCAAAAATCAATCATCTTATTATTGAGAATCAAACTTTATATATTATAAAAGAATAACAGTTACAAAGCAATACACTAATGGCTAATCAATGGTATTAAAGAGTAATTAAAGAGTAATAATGTCCATTATTCAAAAATTTTCTAACAGAAGTTACTCACCACTATAAATAGATGCACTCATTTGAAAAATGATATCACCCAGAAATCATACAAAAGCTCTGAAGATCAATCAACAAATCCCAAAAGCCCTTTCAAGTATTCAGCACAATTCTTATACTATGGACTAGGGTTCATAGTACATTGTGAACCATAATCCTGGTGCATGTGTATGTGTCCTATATTGTGAGTTTTTATCTCTTGTATTATAAAACTAGCATTTTGTACGCACGATGCGCGAAAACTTATGCCTAATATTAAAATATTTGTAAGTAACAAAATTTAAAAAATTAGTTAAAATTATATTTTGCAATTTCTTAAAGTGATGATACTTTTGAATTATCATATATTTGAATAATATAGTGATCAAAACAAAAAAAAAAAATTATATTTTTATATAATAATAATTGACAATTATTCTAAATAATAATAATAATAATGTAAATCATTTTTATAAATTTGATATTTATATTTTATGTAATAATTAACATATAACTCAAATATATAATGTTTATATATTATTATTAATGAAGAAGATAAGAAAATATATGGTGAATGCATGTGCATGGTAATAATAGTGAAAAAGATAACGGAAGTTATAACGGTAGGGGTATGTTTGTCCAAAATATTTTAATGTACAACCTTTATAGCATAATGTACAAAAAAACTTAACGGAAAAAACAGACATAAATCAAGGGTATAACTTTAATTCACACTAATATTTAATTAAAATATAATTTATAATTAAATTAATTGTTATATGATAATTTTAATAAAATGATAATTAAAAATTGGAAAAAGATATGATAGATGTAAGTGTATAGTAAGATTGGTAGATATATTAAAAACTAACGGTGTAAGGGTGATTTTGTCCAATACAAATGAATGTACAACAATTAAAGCAAAATGTATATATTTATTAGCATATAAAAAGGGGACAAAAATCAAGGACATAACTTGTATTGACACTTATTATGTTTTTAGATTATATATTTTAAAAATATAAATTCTATATATAAAATAAATTAATAATTGTCTTATGTTATGAATTTATGTATTTATGTTGTGATAAAAAAAAAAAAATTAATGAACATAAATCTTCCTTCTGAAACCAAATGAAAGCTAAGGTTGTTTTTTTCTTTATCAATTTTCTCCATCAATGATGCTTTTGTTAAAAACTGATTAAACATTCAAGTTTTATTTGCTCTTCACAGCAAAATAAATTATTCTTACAAATCTCATTTCATTTATTATCAAGAAAGCAATTCTTCAATCCTTCTTGGCCAACTTCATATCGCATCTCTATCTCGAATAGAAACTTTCATCCAAATTTTATTAATTCATCATGAAAAAAATGAGCAATTGTTTTTCATTGTTTATTCCAAAATCATGCACGGTTATGCTTACAATCCTATCATGATTGAACCATCAACCGCACATTCAGCAACCTAATATGGCTACCATTTTTCCAGATTCATCAGTAAAATGATATCCATAGTGATGAAAGATTATGTGGCAAAAAGTTTCCATGTTAGTCCAGACCATTATTGCAAGACATTTTTACCAACATAGTGCAGAGAGGCATCCCCATGCCATAAAAGATAAGTATAATTGTCATTTATATTATTCTTTATATTGGTGAAGCATAGGCACACACTTGTTCTTGGGTACTCAACTCACATTTTATTTAGGCAAAACACTAGAAACAGAGTTGCATCACTGCTTACAAGACAACATAATATTATTTCAAATGAGTTGTTCAAACAGGCAAACAGTTCTTCATCACCTTTGCTTTGCTCGACAGATCAATCCCCAGCGCCTTTCGAGAGCAGCCACGATAGCAAACGCCATCACAGCAAGCACAGATCGCACACTGCCTGCACAGAGGCAAGCAGTCGCTATTCACATTGCAGAAGGGGAGCGGTGGAGCCCCACCAGGCAAAACTCCTGCAACAATTGTTCAACGTCAACAAAAGAAAAACAACTCCATAATCTCTGACAAAATCTGAAATAACATGTTCACTTACCATGAGCATTAGTCAGAGCAGCGACTATGAAAAACAGCACAAGAACTGCTCTCACCATTTCAAATTTGTTTAGGTAAATGAAATGATGCTGGAACTCACAAAGATACATTGTTATATAGGAAAAAAACACATAAAAAAAGCATACTTTCATCCATATATTGAGGGAAAATAATAATGCAAATTCTGTTCCTTGACATTAAAGGATTCAATCTTATCAACAATAAAGGTGCAAACAGGTTAGTTTGCCTCTTTGGTTAAATTTAGAACAATAAACTGTTTTCAATAGCTATTTTTGTTTCTCCGGATATATAAAAGGAGCAAAATACAACCCCATCAAACAAACCAAAAGCACCTTTCGCCAATTCAAGTATTAATCCAACGGTACAAGGTAGCCCCACCAATCCACCATAACCTCAACATCAAGCAATAGTTAGAAACAGTATGAGTTCCTGCAAAACCTAAAGGAGAATTATGAGTTACAACTAAAATATATCCAAGGCGTTACATGCCAACATGACCTAAAGGAGAATTATGTAATGTTGTTATTAAGTTCAAACTCTATAGGATATTATTATTGAGGCAGGAGGTGAGGCAATTAATTTACAGGACTATACTTGCAATTAATAAACCAGCAAAGTAAGATGAGGCGGGAGCATATAGAAACAGGCAGTGCAATTACCGCCCCCAACTCTGCTCACCAAGACTCTTGGGGCCACCTAGGAACTAGAAACTCTAAAATTTCATCTTAATGATGTAGAGGCTAAATTCTCATTTGCAACCAACATTGGAAATCCACAGTTCAAAAACCTTGGCGAGTTTAACCATGCCCAAATTAAGAAATGGTAAATCCAAAAAAAAAAAAAAAAAAAATTAGAATGCAATTTACTTTAGTAATGATATTTTTTATTTTCTATTTTATAATTCACCCATAGCAAAACTAGCAACATTAGCAAACAAATTTCAAAATTTTTGCTAATGCAGCAAGCTTGCTATAAGTGTAATTATAACTAAAAATAAAAAACATATATAATTTGCAGTACCCACAGCCACATCCAACCGAAATCTAGAGGTGCGATAGCCTAAGGCTCTTCAGTAATGATATTTTTTATTTTTTATTTTGTAAATCACTCATTGCAAAACTGGCAAAATTAGCAAACAAATTTTTAAATTTTTGCTAATTTAGCAAACTTACAATAAGTGCAATTATAAATGAAAAAATAAAAAACATATATAATTTGCAGTACGCACAACCACATCAAACTGAAATCTGAGGTGTGGATAGCCTAAGGCTCTTCAATAATGATATTTTTTATTTTTTATTTTATAATTCACCCATTGCAAAGCTCACAAAATTAGCAAACAAATTTCAAAATTTTTGCTAATTTAGAAAGCTTGCAATAAGTATAATTATAAATAAAAAATAAAAAACATAATATAATTTGCAATACCCACAAGCCACATCAAACCGAAATCTAGAGGTGTGGATTGTCTAAGGCTCTTCAATAATGATATTTCTCATTTTTCATTTTATAATTCACCCATCACAAAGCTGACAAAATTAGCAAACAAATTTCAAAATTTTTGCTAATACAACAATCTTGCAATAAGTGTAATTATAAACGAAAAAATAAAAATAAAACATATATAATTTGCAATATTCAATAATTTGCAATCAAACTAAAATGGTGTGGATAGCCTGAGGCTCTCAATAATTATATTTTTTATTTTTTTTATTTTATAACTCACCCATTGCAAAGCTTGCAACATTAGCAAACAAATTTCAATTTTTTTGCTAATGTAGCAAGCTTTCAATAAGTGTAATTATAAATGAAAAAATAAAAAATATATATAATTTACATTACCACAACCACATCAAACTAAAATCTAAGGCTTAAACCAATCTTATATTAAAAGAATTGGGACTCTTAGCCCCCGTCTTGGAACTAGAAACTCAAAAATCTTATCTTAATGATGTAGAGGCCAAATTCTCATTTCCAACCAACATTGCAAATCCACAGTTCAAAACCTTAGGGAGTTTAATCCTGCCCAAATTAAGAAATGCTAAATCCAACATGAAAAAAGATAGGTTGCAATTTACTGCAATAATGAAATTTTTTATTTTTATTTTATAATTCATCCATTGCAAAACTTGCAAAATTTGCAAACAAATTTCAAATTTTTTTTTTGCAAAATTTGCAAATTTGCAATAAGTGTAATTATAAATGAAAAATAAAAAACATATATAATTTGCAATACCACAATCACATCAAACTGGTGTGGAAAGTTTAAGGCATAACCCAAATTTATATTCACAAGGAGACACTTGGTGCCATCCTCTCCCAAGGAAACTCTAAGACACATTCATTAGCCATTTTCTCAGTTCAAATGCTCCAATATAGACAAACAATAGTGATATCACCGAAGTAACTATGACTCTTGCCAAAAAACACTGAAACTACATGAAATAGATATTATCTTTTACATGTAATAGTTTATTTGACAAAAGTCAAAGTTACTTTGAAAACATTACTACAAACTCCTCCAAAGTCCAAATCCTCCAAATATTTCATAACTTGAATTCAAACAAGTATGTTATATATTGGAGCTCATATATTTCTCCCCAACATTATTTCAAATTGATACAACCCTTTATTTGAAACAAGCACAAACATAATACAAAAAAAAAACAGTACACATTACAAAACTTAAAACACACACAAGTTGTGCAGTACTGAACAATCTGAGAGAACTCAGGTATTTAAACATAAATGCATTATTTAAAAACATGCATCACAACCAATACCAAATGCATTATTTAAAGAATCTTATATTGATCAAAAAATCACATGGCCAAAAGAGTGGAATATGTTGACTTTGTACCCAAATAAAGGCAACCCATTCAAATATTGACAGCAAGTTGTACTTCTTCATTACATGATACATTGATACATAAGCCAAATGACGTATAAAGGTCAAATGGCAAATAGTATATAGAAATTTAATGTAGCACCATGCTCGTATAGCCTGATAACCATAAATAAACAGACCATGTATTTTGGTGCCATAATTCCACTTTAAAGAGGTGATGCTAATGTGTTAAAGGTAACTTCTCAAACATAATAATCATTATTTTTAGAATGGGTATCTTTAGCAACAGATAATGCTTCCAGTTTCTTTAGCAACAAATTTAACAAATGACCCACCTATAATCTGAATTTAACAAATGACCCACCTATAATCTGAAAATAAAAAATCCACACCAATAACTTATCAGGATTAGAACCTAACTCTTAAAAAAATGCCCTCTTTAATGCAAACACCACTTGAAGGCTAGACACACTTATTTCAGAAATTGTACATTCTAAGTCAAAACAATATTTCAGAACTCAATATATCAAAACCGACAAATATATGATAGACACACTTGAAGGCTAGACAGAGCAATCAGAGAACTTTGAAAGCCAATAATCTGAGTTATTTCCACACTGAGAAATTCAGCTCATTTATGATCTCATCACTTTGCTTAACCCAGAAATTCAACAGCAACTTCACAAATACTCGTTAAAAAGAATTCAAAGTTGATAGCTACTTCACAAAAGCTGTTTACTTTGACAGATCAAAACTGAACAAGAATCTACAAGCCAGCCCAAAGATCTGCCAAGTACTGTACATTTTGCACCTTTACCTTTACTCGAACTTTCTTTACAACCACGAACTCAAAGTTGCAAAGGGCTATTTGGTGCACTAAAACAGCAACTAAATGTAAACACAGAAAACATGCATTACCAGATCGCAGAAAGGAGCGTTGTGAACCAACCAGACTTTGCGAAGTATGACGGAGATGTCGCAGGACATTTATAGGGTTAGGGTTTAGGGTTCTGATCAGGTTTTCTGATTTAGTGTGTTTACGGATTAGGGCTTGTGCATTTCATAGGCCCATTCATTGGGCCACATCTCTTTAGTTTCCGTTTATAAATGCCAAAAGCCCAGTCCAAATATTAAGATATTTTCTGGAGAAAGTATTTTTTAGGACCAAGAAATATAGGAGGCAATAGTTATGTCATGGACCCGGGTCCACTTTGCAAGTTAGACCCGAGTCAAAATAGTAATGCAATTTATATATAGAATGTTACATATTTAATGTTCATAATTCAAATTGTAAATATTTAATATATAAAATTGTGAACATTCAGTATATAAATTGCGAACATTTAGTATATAAAAATTGTGAATTTTCAGTATGTATATTGTGAATATTCAGTATATAAATTGTCAATGTTTGGATCTGAGTCCACCTTACAAGGTGAATCTGGGTCTACAGAATAATTTGTCGATAGGAGCCTAGTTCAAGCTTAAAAAGTAAATTTTATTTTTGTGTGGACCATGAATACAATGTACATTTTTAATATACTAAATGTCTATTAGGTTGGGTGTAAAAGGCTAAGAAGAGGGAGGTACAAATTGAATTAAGGAGTAAAGTTTGGAGGTTAGGGTGCATATAAATAGTTCAAGAGTCACCATAAAAGTTTTGATTCAACAGTAGCCAGTAGGATTGGGTATGAGTATAATGCCCACTAAAGACATGATAGTTATTGGGAGACCCAAAACTCAAATACTTAGGGGCAGTTTACTAACTGGAAATTTTTGAAAATTTTTGAAAACTGGAAAATAGAAAACAGAAAACATGTTTACTAACACAGATTTTCATTTTGAAAACTGAAAATAATTTCTGGAAAACTGGAACACACTTAAAAACTGTTTTCGAAATATAAAACATAATCATCTATCATCTATCATCTATTTAGTTATATGTCACTATAACCACATTACTATAATTACATTCATTATCATCTTATTTTACTTATCACTATCTTTTATCTTTTTTTACTTATTTAAACATGATTTATTTGCTTACACAATTTAAACATGATTTATTTGCTTACACTTTAAAGTTAGACATTATTTACATTATCAAAATTAATAATTAAACTCTATATAATGTTTTAAATTTTGATTGAACTCAATAGATTATTAGTTCAAATATTTTTAATTATGTTACATCATAATACAAGTTCGATCCAGATATCAAATATTGAAATCTCATATACATTAGAATTCAAAATAAAAGTTATATATTCCTATACATGTCATTCAAATAAATAATCCAAAAAAATATTTTAAATATTATCTCAAAAAATATTATTATTATCTAAACTAAATTTTATGTGAAAACTGAAAAATTAAAAAACAGAAAACAAAGAACAGTTTTCTGTTAGTAAACAAGTTTTCTAAACAGAAAACAGATAATGGAAAACAGAGAATGAAAACTGAAAAATTAGAAAACACAAAACAGAAAACAGTTTTCTGTTGGTAAACGGACCCTATAGTCCGCCTAAAATTTTCAAAATAGATTAATATATAAGAGTTAAATATATTTTTGTCATAAATTTATACGTGACAGTTTACTTTAAGTCTTTTTATTATTAGAACATCCACTTTTAGTCCTAATATTATTGTGGCATAACTACTTTTGGTCCTTTATCAACAAAACAGTTTAAATATCGTTAAATACAAGGACATTTCGGTCTTCAATTATAGATGTTTTTTAAAAAATAAGCATAAAAAATATAGTGGTTCAACTTACTTTCTATAAAAA